CGGTCTGGGATTCTGTGATTCTGTGAATCCTCATTGCTCTGCTGCTGGATTAATTGCAGGGCTAGAATATATGAAAAGAGTTGCATGGTTTGGGTTTGGAGGCTGCTCAATTTCATCCTTGGACGACCCAAGCAGTAAAGCTGAGTGACAGCTCTGTGAATGTAAATACCATTGCGATTGAACACGAAGCCACGGCGAGAACTGGAGCGTTCGTCTTGGGCAGCCCTTTGGTGGCAGCCAGGAGGTGTGTCCTGTCTGAGGACACCTCAGTTCCCTGCAGCAGAGTTAATTCTGTGCCTGTTTCCTCCCGCAGGCCCTGCTGACGCTGGGGTTGGTGTTGCTGACCGTTTACTTCGTGATCCAGCCCTACAGCCCGCTGCCGCCTGAAGCTCCGCTCTCCAGAGCCCAGGCCTGGGGCTCCCTCATCGGCCACATCCGGCTGCTCCCTCTGCCCATTGCCAAGAAGTACATGCTGGAGAGTAAGGAAACCGTTTCTCTGTAACATAAGCCTAGCAAGAAATACCAAGTTAAATACCAGCCTTGCAAATCCTTGGAGTGTCTCCCTGGGCACCAAACAGCGACTGTGTTACTGGCTTGGCACCGTGGTTTTCTCTTTTCCTACCACTGTACTTAAAAATAGCATCTTGAGCTCTAGCTAGGGCTCTTTCCCATCTATTCATTGGGCTGCAGCATATTTTATCTCTAACTTCATCATTTTGTTCTTGCACATTCCCTTTCCCTTGCTTTTAGCACCTCGAGTTTTTTCTTCCGCAAGAATTCCCCTTCCTCTCAAAATCTCTGCATTTCTGAGGTCGTTATGCTGGGTAAATGTCACCTTTTTAAATCTCTTATGAGTGAGCAGGCAAAACCAGCTTGTCAAACCTTGATATTTGTGAGCAAAGTGCAGAAACCTCAGCATGTGACCCAGGTTTAAGGAAAAATGCTTTTGCCAAGTGTCATATTGGGAAAGGACTGGGCTTTAGAGCTACGGTGTTTATAGCAATGTAAGATGAAGGGTAATGTGTGTGTGGGGAAGCCTGATAAGCGGCTCCCTATTGAGGTGAGCCCATCACGGGGGAGGAACGTCGTAGATTTTCCTAGGCTGGCATCATAGAAATGGAAAAGTTTGATTATTTCTCATTCTCAGTTAATAATTTCCACTGAGTTAGGCTGGCAAAAGGGCGTAAGCCTGGGCTCTGCCTCTTTGATAAAATACAAAGCCTGTCAGGAGCGATAAAAGCTGTGAATTCTGTCGAGCAGGGATGTGGCACGGCGTTGGTCGTCTGTAAAAACAAACTCCTGTATCCATGCCCTGGCCGGGTTTATATTTGGCTTCAGTAACTCATTGTGTTGGCGGTGTCTGTTCTGGCTCTGACCTTCCTGTAGCTAAAAAAGGGCGCTCAGAAATGCCAGCGCCCTTCTGCGTTTGCTCCGTGTGTCTCCCCCTCTTCCGCTGACACGTGGGATTTCGGTGGCTTCGGGTCCGGATGGGTGGGATGGGGTATCCCCCGTTGTTCAGCTCCTTCCTCGTACGCTGGGATCTCTCTCAGGGAGGAAAAAACAAAGGCGAGGAGGTGGCCGATAGCCCCTTGGCCTTAGGAGCCTGCTTATCGACTGCATCTTGGTGCTGAAGGGAGTGAACGCCCCTCTGCTTCTGTGTGGAGAAGGAAACCAACGGGAGCTTTACCACTCATATCTATTTGTTCAGTGAAACTTAGTCCAGAAAAGGTTCTTTCATCAGATGCCACAGGGCCCCCTTGGATGGGGAGAGCCCAGGGAGGTTCCTTGGCACGGCAAAAGGTTTTTACAGGACAGGGGCTGCCTGAAATCACGAGCATCTTGCTGTGAAGGTAAATAAGAGTGAGGAGCAAGGCTGGGTTACTGATGGGAAAGCTGGATGAGTGCGGAGGAGATGGGGAAACATCCAGAGGAGCAGGGGAAGGATGGATGGAGAGGAAGGATGCGAGGTTGTTGTTTAAATGCATATAAAATCCCTCATGCCTCCACGAGTCCCGGAAATCTTCTGAAGCGATGAGCAACCGGGCAGGCAGAAAGCCAGCTCTGAGGAAAGGAGAGGAGGTACAGGGAGGATGAGGCTCTGATTTTCCATCAGTGTTAGGTTGTGGTGAAAACCACAGCCTGTCCCAATTAACAGACTCGTTAGGGATGGCTGGGGTAACTTTAATCCCACTTCAGCTCAAGGAGCTGGCCTAGACCTGGGGTGTTTGAATGGGAGAGTGCAGCACCTGGCTGAGCCTTGGCTGGGCTCCTGTGGGAATCCCTGGTGTCCCGGCTTCCCAGCAGGCGGCTGAGGCCACCAGGGCTGTCCCAGCGTCCGGCTGTCCCAGCAGCACTGCTGTCAACTTCACAGCTTGCTGCTGAGCAGGCCACAGTAACACCAGCCAGCCAGGATCCGGGAGAGGGAGTTTCATGGCATGGGGCTGAGTGGTCTCCCGAGCTCTCCTTCAACCCTGCCTTGTGCATGATGTATCATTTTGCCCTAAATTTTTGGCTCTGCTGAAGGGAAGGGGTGAAGGTGCATCTTGCTGTGCTGTTTGTTGATGTGAGCATAGGGCCAGGAGGTCTTGCAAGCAGCTGTAGCGTTCTCCAGGGCGCACACACGCATAGGAGAAGGCACTGAGCAGCAGAGAAAGCCACTGACGAAGGGACTCGATGTACAGACTCCTCTTCCTTTCTGTCTGCAGATCCTGGTAAATGAAAATTTTGAGGGGGCTGAGGATGAAACTTGGAGCTTTCTGCGCTCGGGCAGCGGTTCAAATCCAGCTCGGGCTGTTCTTGCTGGAAGCCACCTGTCAGCAGGCTGGAGGCTGCCTTGGCCCACCGGCCGTGCTGGCAGCCGCCCATCGTGGTGCGGACGGAGCCCGGCCGTGGCAGGCGTGGGTGGTCCGGTTCATGTCCTGCAGCCCTGAAGCTGCCCGTGGGGCTGTGGTCTGAGACCCTGCTGTCCCTGCTGAGCCCATTTGGGATGTAGTGGGTTTGGAGCATCTTTCCTGTCTCCGGGCTTGCAGGTTGCAGCTCGGTCCCTCTGGTAGGTGTGGGCTGAACGGCCAGGTTTGTGTTGCAGAACAAGGGGAGCTCAGATGCGTGGTTTCCCTTGAGAGCCAGAGCCCCACGTTTGTGGTGGTGAGGATTTGGGAGGAGCAGGGATGCAAGATGCTGCTCCCCCTCTTCCTCCACTCAGGTTGACCTGCCTTCACCTTCATCCTGGTCCCTTCCACCCCGAGCTGTGCTGCGGATGACAAGGGCTGCCTGTCACATGGCTGTGGGTGGACTTTGGAGCGCTGAGGTGAGGAGCAGCGTCCTCAGAGCTCTCTCTTGTGTTACGTTTGTAGGATCAGGTCCAAAGTAAATTTCCTTTTTGCTTGTCTCTCCACTCTGTTGCTTGCTGGCTTCTCCCCCGGATCAATTCCCATCTTAAACCTGTTGTTCCCACCCTTTGTTTCTTCAAAGCTGACTCTGAGACCCTTGGGTTTGGCCCCTGTGCCTTTTTTTCAGCTGTTTTCCCAGGGCTAGGAACCAAGGGCTCTTCAGATGGGGAAAAGTCCTGCGGAAATGTGGTTTGCATTTGCTCTTTCTGAGCTCGTGTTTACGCAGAGCTGGTGAAAACCTCGGTGCTGGGTCCTGCTGCCTGCTCCAGGCTGGGGAAACACCTCTCAGCTCCACAGCTCGGCTGCTATCCGGGTAGATCAGCGCTTCACGTAGCCCCCAGGGAGGTGATGGGTTTGCAGACCCCTGGGCTCTGCCTGCTCTAAGGAGCACGGTGGATTTTGGGTGGGCACGTGGGTTAACTCATGGCTTTCTTGTGCTGTTCCAAGTAGGGCCCATGTAACCTGGATTTGTTTCTCTTCTCTGGCATAGGCTGGGATGGACAAGTCGTTTCAGTTCTCTGGTGCAAAGTAGGAGTACAAGTACTTCCCTCTCCTTTGCAAGCATCAGGAAGTAATTAAATGAGCTTTCAGAGTCCATAGTAATCAGATCTGAATCACACAATCATTTGGTTGGAAAGGACCTTTAAGATCATCGAGGCCAACCATAACTTGGCCACTACTAAACCGTGTCCCTCAGCACCTCATCTCTCCAGCTTTTAAACCCCTCCAGGGATGGGGACTCCACCACTGCCCTGGGCAGCCCCTTCCAGTCCCAGCCAACCATTTGGAGAAGAAATTTTCCCCCATATCCAATCTAACTCTCCCTTGGCACACCTTGAGGCCATTTCCTCTCGTCCCATCGCTTGTTACTGGGGAGCAGAGCCCGACCCCCCCTGTCTCCCCCCTCCTTTCAGGAGCTGCAGAGGGGATAAGGTCTCCCCTCACCTCCTCTTCTCCACTTGAACCCCCCAGCTCCCTCAGCCGCTCCCCATCATTCGGCTGCTCCAGACCCCTCCCCAGCTCCATTGCCCTTCTCTGGCCACGCTGCAGCCCCTCAATGTCCTTCTGGGAGTGAGGGGCCCAAAACTGAACCCAAGATTCAAGGTTGAAATGTAAAAGGGGTTTCCTCTTTTTTTAAACAGAAGTTTTAAAACCACAGTGGTGGGCACTGAGTGGTTCTTCCCTTCGCAACTGTGCGACATCCTCAAAGCTTTGTTAGTATCTAAATATGCAGTTTGATGTCAGTTGGTTGATACCTGCCAGCCACGCAGAGCAGCGACGTGAGGAGCAGAGCATTAAGGTGCTTTTACGTGAACTTGTGTGTCTTGTGCCCGTGGTGAGTTCAGTCCTTGCAGCTCAAAGTCCTCAGCAGAGCAGGTCAGTGGTGAACAGGCTCTTGTCCAACAACGTGAGGGTTTGCACGTTGTGCTGATAGCAGGGGTTTGTGATGACCTCAGGGAAAAATCCAACTTTGCTTCTCATAACAAGACCTGGTCCTGACTACTTGCACATTACCCAGTTCAGAGTCAACTGGGTCAGGCACAGCACACCTAAAATCAGGTGCAAGCTCACACGTAGCTCAGTGTTGGAAAAGGGATCCTGTGCGAGTTACCCCCAGCGTGGAGAAGATACTTGTGATAAATCCTCCTTTTTGCCTAGACCAGCAGGGCTAAAATCACATTTATGGGGTTTATACGTAATCTGGTTTAGAGAAAGGAACCCTGCAGGAGGAGCTGTGTTTAAGCATCACCTTGTAAATGGCCTCTCACTGTCACATCCCGGGTGCCAGAGCTGTGTGGGGACGGGGCGCAGCAGCTGGGTTACTGGGGAAGAACAGACTGGGTTACTGGGAGAGTGCAGCAGCCCTTGCCTCTTGGCTGCCCACCGTCACTGTGGCTGGAGGCTTTGCCTTGGCTCCTGGCCACCTCCTGGCTTCTCTCTGACCTGAGCCCTTTGCAGGCAGCCACAGCCACGTTTCTCTCCACTTCTCACCCTCCTCTTTTCCCATAGCCCTGAAGTGTTTGTCCCTGGCACAGCTCTGTGCAGAAAAGGAGCATCCAGCACAACTGAGGTTGGACTTTCCGCTTCCT